TATTCTATTCTATTCTATTCTATTCTATTCTATTCTATTCTATTCTACTCTACTCTACTCTACTCTACTCTACTCTACTCTACTAATTTCTAATTATTTATATCCTGTTCTAGTCGACACCTATTCCTATTCTATTCTATTCTATTCTGTTTTATTTCTATTTCTACTTCTATTCTACTGGTAGGCCTCAACCTGTCACCACAATTGGGACTGGGATTTCCATTACTGTACTGAGCAAGGCAATGGTTAAGCGAGTTGCACCCATTTTACCACGTCGGACCTAGGCCTTATCTTCCTTATGCTAGACCACAATATCATCAAGCTTCCAAGGCTGAGAAACACTCCTGTAACCCATACAATAAAGGTAGAGTTAGTACTTATAGTTGTGCTTCTTTGCCTGGACTAGTTGTGCTTCTTTGCCTGGACTACACTGGTAGCGAAGGGGCAAGGCGTTTACGAAGAAAGGAACATGAGGGATTAGCTGAGTTTTTCAAATCCTATCTAGCCTCTGATTTTGCATCACAACCCATACAGGCAGTCCTCGACTTACAACAGTTCATTTAATGACCATTCAAAGCTACAACGGCACTGAAAAAAGTGACTAAATGACCATTTTGCATACCATTGCAGCATCCCCACAATCATGTGATCAAAATTCAGATCCTTGGCAACTGATTCAAATTTATAATGGCCACCGTGTCCTGGGGGGTGGGGGTGGTCACACGATCCCCTTTTGTGACCTTCCGACAAACAAAGCCAACGAAGAAGCCAGATTCGCTTAATAACCGCGTTTACTAGCTTAACAGCTGGAGCGATTCGCTTAAGAACTGTGGCAAGAAAGGTCATAAAATGGAGCGAAATTCACTTAACAAACAACTCACTTAACAACAGAAAGGTTGGGCTCAATTGTGATTGTAAGTTGAGGACTACCTTTAACTAGTTTCTGAATCTCCTTCCCTAGTTCAAGAGTTGCTTCCCATCCATTCGGTTTATTCTTTCTAAGCAACCCTCTGTCTCTGGGTGATATGATAGCGATGATGATAATGATGACGATGGTTTTCAAAAAGCCAAGATAGAGCCCAATGGATCTCCTGACCACATCCCCACCCTGTTCTTTTCTGACCACTGAAACAGGGGTGGGATGCTACCAGTTCGGTCCGGTTCTATAGAACTGGTAGCTCTGAAGAGCAGCTGACACCGAACCGGTTTACTGCGATAACCATTTGGTCATCTGTTTGGCCTGCCCGCCTGCCCGGCCTCTAGGCTGTCCTTTATCGTATGCTTTTACTTCCTCAGCTGCTTTGTGCGGCACTGCTGAGTGCTGCTCGTCAGCTGGAGAAGGTAAATGCTCGCTGGAGCTGGTATTGTGCATGCACATGCAGTGTGCATTTGGTGCGCATGTGCGTGCTTCCAAGCCGGTTGTTACGCTGGTAGGATCCCACCCCTGCACTGAAACCCCAAATTCCTGAAAGACAACATGCAACAATGACCACATTTTGGGAGAACTGTGTTGTTTCTCGGTCTCCACCTCTCCCATTGGATCCGGATTGGGTCCGATCCTTGTTTCTTCTCAACCGCCTCTCCATCACCTCCCCTAGATTGCACTGTGGACCTTCTGCTTGCAGATTGGGCATGTCTTGTCAGCCACGGGTTGGATGAGCAACCAGGTGTTGATGCAGGTGGCGTGAAAGATATGGGCGCAAGGAAGAACCTTCAGCCGGTCCCCTGCTTCATACTCCGCCATGCAGATTACACAAGTGTCATACCTGTCACCGTGTTTGAAGGTCTTCACTCGGATGCCTTGGTTGGATCGGCCCCATTTCGCCCAACTGACCAGCACCAAGAAGCTAATCCCCATGCTGAGGCTGATCAGCAGCCCAAATTCCTTGAGGATCTTGAGGAACAGTTGTTGCGTACAGTAACCTGGCCAGATCGGCAAGTCGTAGACCACTAATTCCCAAAGAGCCGCATATGTCTCATCCAAGCAGGAATTGTAATAACTCTGGGGGACCACCACCATAATTTGGGCATCCTTTGCGGAATGAACTTGCCTTCTCAAAAGTTTAGAAGCCGTCCGTCCGATGAACATTGACGGGATAACGATCGGCAGCCTTCTCTCTTCCATGCTGATCGCCATGTTCACCAAGAAATCAGAACACAAGTTGTAGATGATAGCTGCCCGATATCCGGCTTCCTGGGCGTGGAAAACTTTAAGGTTGAAGGAACAGTCATATAGGCGGATGAGGGCGACGAAGCCAGAAGGAGTCCGGTTGGAAACCGGGGCTGCTTTTATGGGGTGACAAGCATTGGCAGGCACTGTTTCAAGAAGGTAACCCTTCAGGCCAGTTACGGGCACAGGTGGGCCAAACCAGGCTGGGGCAGCATTAAAGTCCATACAGGTGTCGTTCTGCTTGTACACCAGATGAACAAATGGTTTGGCCAAAGCGGTCTCGAGAAACAAGGAAATGGTCACTAGCAGAGGAAGAGATTCCACCAAGCCCCACATGGCAGAGATCGCCTTCTCCAGACACAACGGATGGAAGATGGAGAGAGAGCGGTGGAGTAACTAGATCTCAACCCCTTGGCATTTTGGACAGCTGGCGAGGGAGCCGTTGAGGCCACGTCAACCCACGCAATTGATCTTCAAGAGCAGACTGCCGAGGTCTCCTTCCTTGGAACGCGTCTCTTGAAATGATGAAGCTCAGCTTCTTCTCTCAACCACACCGATACCACACTTTTCACCACAGGGCATGTGGTTCTCGCCCACCCCAGGTCTAGTAGTTTGAAACAGCCCACTCCCTTGTGACATCACTCGCTTATTGCTTGGGCTACTTCCTCTGAGTGGTTAAGGAAAGAAGAAGGCTCACTTAAACATAACAGGTAAAAATAAAGGTTTCCTCTTTCCAGTTGTTAAGAATCAGATTAAGAATAACAAGAGTTGGAAGGGATCTTGTAGGTCATCTACTCCAAGCAGGAGACACTACACAATTTCTGACAGATGGCCGTCCAATCTCTTCTTGAAAGCCTCCAGTGATGAAGCTCCCACAACTTCTGAAGGCAACTTCTGTTCCATTTGGTTGATTGTTCTCCCTGTCAGAAAGTTTCTCCTTATTTCCAGGTTGAATCTCACCTTGATCAATTTCCATCCATTATTCCTTGTCTGGCCTTTGGATGCTTTAGAAAATAGCTTGACCCCTTCCTCCACTCTGTGGCAGCCCCTCTCCAATATTGGAAGACTGCTATCCTGTCACCCGTAGTCCTTCTTTTGACTAACCAGAATAGAATAGAATAACAGAGTTGGAAGGGACCTTGGAGGTCTTCTAGTCCAACCCCCTGCTTAGGCAGGGAAACCCTACACCACTTCAAACAAATGGTTATCCGATATCTTTTCAAAAACTTCCAGTGTTGGAGCATATAAATGCTCCAACACGGGGAGTCTTTAAGACGAGATTGGACAAGCATTTGTGTGAAATAGGATAGGGTCGTGTTGGCAAACCTATGCCATGCATGCAGAGAAGTGCATTTCCCCTGGCACGGGAGAGGTTGCCTGGAAGAGCTCCACTGCGCATGCATGTGGGTGCTGCCGCCCATCAGCTGATTGCGGGTATCTGGTGCGCATGTGCAGGGGGCAGAGGGTTAGGGTCAGGGTCAGGGTGTGCAGGAGACATGCACACATGTTCAGGGGATCATGTGCGCATGCGCAGACATGCTGCACGCGAGGGGGAAATGCGTGCCTATGCGCAGAAATGCTGCATGTGAAGAGGGAGTAGTGTGCGCGTGCGCAAAGAGGCACAGCACATGAGGGGGGAATCCCACGCGCATGCACAAAGATGCGCAGCGCACAAGGGGGATCATGCACTCATGCACAGGGGGTGTGGGGGGGCAGCATGCATTGCCTTCTGGGTGCTGGTACATGAGCATGCACAAGCAAGCGTGTGCACAATTATCGGCAGGAGTGGGATTCCAATTTTTTAACAAACTGGTTCTGTGGGCGTGGCTTAGGTGGTGTGCGTGGCTTGGTGGTCATGTTGTTGGCTGGGTGTGACCTACTCAACATCACTCATATCAAGGCACGCATCTCCTCACCTGGCCTCTCGCCTCTCCTCTCCTCTCATGACTGTGGGGATGCTGCAACAGTCGTAAGTGTGAAAAATGGTCATAAGTCACTTTTTTCAGTGCCATTGTAACTTTGAATGGTCACTCCACACAAGCAAAGTACCAGCAAAGGAGGGGGAAAATACTCCAGAGAAGTTCCTGAGACAGGACTAGTCTTGCCAAGAATGTAATAAGGGTTAACGGAGAGGCAGTTTCTGTAAGCAACACCAGAATGTTTCCTTCCTGCCTTCCTTACAGGATTAGGCCAGTAAAAATTTCTTCTAACAACTGGTTCTCCGAACTGCTTAGAATGTTAACAACCGGTTCTAGCAAATAGGTGCGAACTAGTAGAATCCCACCCCTGATTATCGGCACGGGAGCCAAAAAAGTTTAGCCACCACTGGTATAGGGTCTCCTGCTTGAGCAGGGGGTTGGACTAGAAGACCTCCAAGGTCCCTTCCAACTCTGTTGTTCTGTTATTATTCCACTAGGTTTGTAGGAGCTGGGGTAAGTAACAGGACCTACCCTTGTCATGTGGCACTTGGCTTTTGAACCTGAGCTGTTCCAGCGGACAAGTTCAGTGTCTTTAACCACTGAGCCGTAGCACCTGTTCAGAGTTTTGCAGCGTTAATTCAGTGCCAGAAAAATAAACTCAGATGGCTGATGCTTCATTTAACATCTTTATAAACATAATAAGTAGATTTTTACAAACCACTTGTAGATTTCTCCAACATGGAGCAAACTCAGACAGAATCTGTGTCCTCAGATCATGGGCTGTTTCAGGTTTTGGTTTGAAGACGTTTTGCTTCTCATCCAAGAAGCTTCTTCAGCTCTGACTGGATGGTGGGGAATGGAAAGATTTATCCTCCTTGCAGACACAGCTGGTCATTTGCACTCTTTCTGAGGGTTGTTGAGGCCACTTGGAGCTTTATCTCTGTCCTCAGGGTTACCTGAATGGTGCAAATGGGTTGTGGAGCCTTCTTGGAACTGCAGAAAGGACCGTGTTGCAGACTTGAGATAGATGATGTCCTCTGCCTCTGTTGAGTGAGGGCTCTTCAATTTTGTCACAGATGGCCTCTTAGGGCCCCTCTTTCAAACCAACCAAGGGGCCTCAGCAACTCTCTAAAACTGCAAATGACCAGTTTTGTCTGCAAGGTGTATAAATCCTTCCAGTCCCCACCATCCTGTCAGAGCTGAAGAAATGTCTTCAAAGGAAAACCAGAAAACAGCCCATGATCTGAGGACACAGATTCTGTCTGAGTTTGCTCCATGTTGGAGACATCTACAAGTGGTTTGTAAAAACCTTGGGAAATTCCAGGAGTTGAAGTCCACTTATTCAGAAGTTGGCCGTGGTTGGAAAACATTGCATTTATGAAATGTCATCGAAATGTCAGGGTGGGGGGGTGGGATTGGCTTCTAGGCTTCCACCTCCCAGCTTAATATTATTCATTGAGCTGAATAATAATATAATATTCATGGCTTTCTATGGCGCTTGTATAGGAGTTAACTTCTCCCCTGTTTCCAGTAAAATCCAGCTACGCAACTTGCCTCGGAAGCAATCGCTGCTCTTCGTTCATTGTTACAGATTGCTCCTCGAGCCAAGGAACTAATAGGTTTTGTGAATTGTACGCATCTCGTAAGAATATACTCTGGATAGTTCGGGGACCGCTTTTAATCCTAACTTGCTGAGCAAGCATATTTTTTGTTTTGGTCCTGTTCCGTGCATCGACTTTTCTCAATAAATTAGAACCGCTGGGAGAAAGTTGTACCCATTTGCCAGACGTTGCTATCCGATCTTTTCCGGACCCCACAATCTTTGACGTGACACTCCTGAGGGATGATCTTCCTGTATGTCCTCGACATACAGCCGTTCTTTTAGCGACGGTTTGAAGTCTCGACTCTCAGGATTCCAGCAGTTACCCCCCCCCCCCATTTAAATCATGAGTCTCGAGCCAAACTTCCAAAACTTCGAAAGGATTTATTGGGAGTTAACATGTCCGGCACTCCTTGGATGTAGCTGACTCTGAAACCAGTGACTTCCAAGTGATCCTGGCACGTACCAGTGGTGGGATTCAATTTTTTTTTTACTACTGGTTCTGTGGGCGTGGCTTGGTGGCCGTGGCAGGGGAAGGATATACTGCAAAATCTCCATTCCCTCCTCACCCCACTAACCTGCTTTCCAGCTACGTTCTCCTGTGCAGGGCAACCAAAGAAGACCCAGCCGATCAGCTGGGACTCAATGGGAGGCAGAGAAGAGATGGGGGTCGGGGCCAGTCAGCAGAGGCATTTGCCGGTTCTCCAAACTACTCAAAATTTCTGCTACTGGTTTCCAGAACTGGTCAGAACCTGCTGAATACCACCTCTGCTAGGAATCGTAGCAGAAATGCCAAGGTCATTTTGCCAGCCTTGCCAGTGGTAAATGCCAGCTACAATGTTTAAAAACATGTCCGCCAAATGTTGGCAATGTAATCAGACAGCGGGCACATATCATCATATGTGGTGGACATGCGTAAAGGCAAAAAAAAATAAAAATTGGATGAAAATACATACACGGTTAAAAAAAAAATGTTAAAGCAACACAGCAACTTACTTTCCTAGCATTCATCTCAATCTATCTCTCTGTAATCCAGATCTACAATTTTGTGTCCTGCACACTAAAACAAGAAAACCTTCTCACGGACTTCCCAAAGGTGCTTTTTCAAGAGGCAGCTGGACTTTCTGGCAACTGGACAACTGAAAGATTTTTTCCAGAAAGACAACAGGAACCAGGAACACTTACACAGATGACCCTGAGGACACAGAGAAACCTCCAAGTGGCCTCAAGGACCATCTCAAAGGATGCAAATGACCAGCTGTCTGCAAGGAGTATCAATCCTTCCATTCCCCACCATCCAGTTCAGAGCTGAAGAAGCTTCTTGGATGAGAAGCGAAACGTCTTCAAAGAAAAACAAGAAAGTCCAGTTGCCTCTTGGAAAAAAAAAGCACCTTTGGGACAACCAGGACCTGGATGACTGTCCATAAATGTCTTATGGACCACGTCTTCTTAAGGTCAGTCATGCCTTGTTCCCGTGATGCAGTTCTTCTCAATATTGGAGACTTTAAAGGGAGATGAGTTCAACTCTCAGGATTCCCCAGCCAACATTGAAGACATGTGGACTTTCAGTGACAGGTAGAAGGAACGGGCAAAAAGATCATCGGAGAGAACGAGAGCCAAGGAGGAATTTTTTGACAGTTAGAAGCATTAATTGGTGGAACTGCTTCCCTCCAGAAGTTGTGGGTGCTCCATTACTGAAGGTTTTTAGGAATAACAGAGTGGGAAGAGACCTTGGAGGTCTTCTAGTCCAACCCCATGCTCAAGCAGGAAACTCTATCCTATTTTAGACAAGTGGTCATCCAATCTCTTAAAAACCT